CGCAAGTGAGTATGACATATTCCGCAGGTGAGTATTGGGTATTCACTGAAATCGATGTTTTGCATATTTACTGCGGAATATCGCTTACTCACCTGTGGAATATGCCATATACCACAGGTGAGTATCGAATATTCACCCATATCACAAATATCACACAACCAGGAATGTATGCCATATTCCGCGTAACAATTCAAAGAGGTTCGAGTTGCCAAACTTATGATGGGAAGTGTTATCATTCATGAACATTAACCATAACTACATGAAAAACATTAGGAAAGAATGGCACCTGAAATACAATTTTGAAAATTTTATTAGTACACATACATGTATTTCCTATTGCTGACCACACATACCCTAAACGGTTTTAAGGGGTATGGCAATGATAAGCTGTAAAAAATATAAAATGGTAGATAATGAAAATGTTAAGCATATTATAATGTCACATATAGTGTTTAGATTTACTTAGAATAAGAAGTTTTGCTATAATGATACACATTTTCTATTTGACCCTAGCAACAAGTTCCACAACAGAAGTGAATGGTGCCACGCCTCCTTTCTTGAATTTCTAGGGGAAGGTAAAGCAAAAAATCAGAAAAAATAGATGCATGCACTTTTTATTGAAACTTTTGCAAGAAATATTTGCTAACATCATCAGTGAGGTTTTTAATCAGGTTTTATACACTATAGGCCCTTACTGCTTTTTAAATGACTGATTAACTATCGACTGATTAAGAAATTTTGAAGAGAAATTATGTACTTTTAGGGACAAATTATCCCATATCTCTACCATATTCTGTTGGATAAGACCCAAACTTTCAGGAATTCTTCATACATGCCTTACTGATATATTAGCAATGTTTCATTATAATTGCAACATCCTCAAATGAGATATTAAATAGTTTCAAGCATATGGTCAAACTCCGACTCGAAAATGATAAAATTTGCTGACTCAGCACTTTTGAGCCTGCTTTGCAAGGGTTCACAAACTTTTTTTTACATGCCTTGGGGTCCCCTACAAGAATCTAAAGTCAAATTGAATCTAGGTGTTTTGGACACAAATGGCCTTGGCCGTAGTACTACCTTAAAATCTTTATCTTTTGAATTGAAAAGTTTGGATGTGTTCTGAAATCTATAACTACTTCAGTTATGCTTATAAAACATCACTATGCACTCTGGCAATCCTGAGGATTTGTCATCGAATTAAGTTAGAAAAAATTCTCACTTACTACCAAACAATTAAAATTTGCTGTTTGTTGGCTGTACAAGTGGGTATTAGTCTTAAGTAGATTTCTTAAAAAGTTTCTTTATATATATATTAACGCTTGGGAAAAAAACCTTGGCGACACGAATGTCTGCTTGTAATGTATATGGAATGACTGAATACGCGTTCTCTACGCAGAGCATTACGGTTGAAATCATTGCGCCATTTTGAACGAATAAACGCTGCCAGCAGACGATTAACATGTCATGCAAGATTGACAATATGGATACTGAGTGGGTACAGCCACGTGGGTTCAAACCACGTGTAACACACAATCACTGCGACCGGTCGCACGGTGAAGTACTTAAAAAAACAAGCCGAAAACTAGCTGTTTTTGATAGCATCACAAACATGTTAAACATAATGCATATGCTCTGCAGTTTTTATATAACATGGATCGAATATCGAACTATACGTCCTAGAATTTCCATGTAATTTCATGAAGAAATTTCACAGCGACGTCGCGGAAAATTCTACCGATCGCAGTCGCACGAGATTGATGAATAGGACGTTATCGCTAAAAAGGACCCTTGCGACATCGCAGGCTTGCGACGTGCTTGCGATAGCTTGATGAATGACCCCTTTGAACGATATTCTTTCTATTTGACCTTCAAGATTTGACATTTGGTGACTTTTTCAATTTGCTTTAAATTGACCAATTCTTTTTTTCAAATCATCTACAAGTTATCAGAAGTTAAAATCTGACTTTAGATTTGAGAATCGACCTTCATTGACCTTCTCAAGGTCAAAAGGGGTCAAAAAGGTATTTTCTCAACTTGTTTCAAATTGACCAATTCTTTTTTCAAAATCATCTAGAAGTTCTCAAAAGTTCAAATCTGACTATAGATGTGACCTTCAATGACATTTTCAAGGTAAAAAAATATTTGACCTTCCCAAGGTCAAAAAGGTATTTTTCAACTTGCTTCAAATTGATCAATTCTTTTTTTTAAATCATCTACAAGTTCTCAGAAGTTCAAATCTGACTTAAGATTTGAGATTTCACCTTCAATGACCTTGTCAGGGTCAAAAAAGGTCTTCTTTCAACTTGCTTTCATTTGACCAATTTTTATTTTTAAAATCATCTACAAGTTCTCGGAAATTCAAATATTACTTAAGATTGAACTAATAATATTGTGAGCAACTAAGAGATGACATTTTGTCCTGTTAATACATTGTTTTCATCTCACACCCTCTGAATTTTCAGGGTCGCCCAAGGTATTGCTTTAGCATGGAAAATGTTTATGTGTGGGCAGGGGAATGGGTTCGACCCCCCCCCCCCCCTTTACTAAAAGCTGGCTACGGGCATGTTGCTCATTTTGCATGTGAAGTATTTTAGATTGCAATGGATGCAATCATTTTCATTGGAACTGATATACAGGGTGTCAAATAAGTCCCGCCCCCCCCCTCTACAGCCAAAACCAAGATATTTGGTACCAAGTGTGATATATCATTGGAAAGGTCTTCCATATATCTGACGCATGTCAATCAATCTCACAAATTTTTACATTGTATCAACTGAGGTGACCATATGCCTAGAAACATGGCAATTTGGCGTATTTGGCAGGATTTTAAGAATTTGGTATAAGATAGGTCAAGGGACCAAAAGATGACTAAATATGTTTATGGCGATGAATTTAACCAATTTCTGGATAGGGTTAGATGTGTAAAAATAGGGATGCAAGGAAAGTGATGAAAACCTTTTTATAACAAGTGGAATGCGAAAAAATGTTAACTATAAAAGACATCATAAAAATATAAGTAAATTTCATCCAAAATACTTGAGAGATGGTGAGTTAACTTAACTTTGGATGATCTTTCCAATGGTATATCACACTAGGTACCATCTGTTAAGGTTTTAGCTGTAGCAGGGGGACGGGACTTATTTGACACCCTGTAAAAGTATTCTGGGATTTACAATGACTAAGATGTGCAAGCAACATTTATCATTTCGGGTAAAGGTCAAACAGTCATCATAGGGAATGACAAACGCCATTCGAAATATAATGCCAATGACTCATTCTTTGCACAGTAATTTAAATATAAACATAGAAATATGAATATAATTAACTTTTGATTGTGCGTTTATATTTCACATAATTTAAAAGTCATTTTGTATCCTCCAACACGTTCTTAATAAAGTTTTACAACGACAATTCAAATAATTCAAAAATTAAATAATGATGACCTAAACACTTTTATTAAGTACTAAGTCATTCATTTCTCAAAATAATAATCTAAAAATATTTTTTCCCAGAGATGATATTTTAATGTTTGGAGGATACAAAATATTGTACAGCCTCATCTAGACAACTTGAATTCACGACAGAAATACCTACACTCAATCATATATCTCCATTGTCTGCAATCGAAGATATGTCATTAAAATGTACCTTGTGGCATAGCTTTCACCAAAATAATGCATCAATAGTGTATATTAATATGGCCGATGTGTTGGAGGATACAAATATTTGACAAATCTTATACATATAGTAAAACATACTTAATTATGTGACTAAGACATTTTAAACATCCCACTTTCAGGAGTTGATAGATGACCATATCTAAACATTAAACAGAAACAGAATTAAACTGATTCTCAACTATTTACAAGACAATAAACCGTTGCGGATATCCAAAACTCATATGTTCGAGTTGTATGTGACTTTTATTACCTCATAATGAAAATCCCATATATTTTGAGTATGAGATTCGATCAAACCTGATTGCGGGAGTCCCTTGAGGCAGTTTAACTTCTAAAAATACATTTTAATTATTATTCAATCAACTTAGCTTTCTATCTTTTCTTGCCATTAAGGCTTAACTTATGTAAGATTCTAGACTGAGTTTAAACTGAATCTTTAGGCCTCTGTTATTATAATTTAACATTTCTGTCTGATAAGGATTTTATGATTAACTTGTTGACATTGATATGAGGTTTGAGAGATCACTTGCGTTTTTAACTGCCACTCCTTTAATATAGTATTGAGAGGTATAAGAACATTTTGTATATGCTATTTTGTTTCAACAATGATCGGAAAAATATTTTATTTCATTCTCAAATATTTGTTGAAATGAACAAAAAATAACTGCACTAAAAATCAAAAGATATTAACAAAAACAGTAATTGTTGTCAATCAGTGACCATTACATAAAAGTGCTTTCTACAGAATGTTTTCAGTAATTGGTTTAAGAGAAAAACGATGTTGAATTCAGTTCGTCATATCGATACCAATCCTTTGAAAAATAACGTCTCAAGTTAGAACTCTTATATGTTAATTCTGTATTTTTCATTTTTTATTCCCAATAGAATATTTGCCTTAAGGTGACCCTAAGATTGAAAAGGCTATGAATCCGCTTGAAAAGGATTTTGTTGGAGTAAATACTGAACAAAATAGAATTCTTCTCACGGTTCAACTTGAATATTATAAAAACTGTAATTGTATTTATTCACCTAAAAGTGACCTTTTCAGTGATGGCCTTCCTAGGTAATTTATTAACATTCGAAACCCATAGAATCTGACTGTATACACTATTTGCACTCAAAATGAATGACTTATTTTGTAGAATTCCTCTAGCGTAGCGTGATACATCTATGTACCTAGACTCTCTATAAAGGTAAATTTAAAATTATTAAAGACACGGAGACTAATTTCAAGAAGCTAATATATCAATGTACGTATTTTATGCATTTTCATGCATTGTGTTTTATTTCAGATATCAACAATTGATCCTTATTAAAATGGTCACCAGCAGAAACGATTTTAGGGACGAGGAAAGAGTCGAATCCGCGATTTACGAAACTCTGCCTGGAACGGAAGGCACCAATAGAGTGCATGTTCATGTAACCAAGGACAGAATGAAGGATATCATGGATGACGCTAAGTATGTGTGAATAACCAGCATGATTTCATAAATTTACAGATCTTTTAAAATTATCACTAAAGAAGGTATACTTTGATGATGTTTTACTTGCAACTTTATTCTAATTTATTTTTTTATATTCCAGTCAAGCGTCAATTAGGAAAAAACGATCACCGAATATAATGATACAAAGAATAATTGATACCAATGCAAGCGTTGCAATTGTGATTGGAGCAATGGTGATAATCTATATTCTAAATATCAAACTGTTGACTATCAGCATGGCACTTCCACTCTCATGGGTATTAACTGCATGCGGGGTAGTGACATTGACGCATTACATTTTCGAAATGCTTTTCGCCCTTGTCAACAAGTACAAAATGGACAAACTTGGAAGAAAGGTACTTGGTAAACAAAGGGCCTCGTTCAGATGCAATGGAAAAGTGGCATTACAGGTTTGTAACACATCTGAAGGTGCCGGGTAGTTATTAAAGGAGTGGTATCGATATGTTGAACTTTTTGAACACGCGTTTCTCTTAAACCAGTCATCAAAACATTCTGAGAATTTTACACATCGTCAATTTAATGGTGATCTTTTGGATGGTGACATTATGATTTGAATTACATATACTTTTCTCTATATTGTTTTAGAAAACACATCAGACACTTCTTTCGTTCTTGGTATCATATGTTTGGAATGAAATGAAACATAAAAATGTTAATAAAAACAGTTATATATAAATACTTTTCTCGTTAAATTTTTGTCAATCAGACAACATTTCATAAAGGACAGTGTTTTTACAGAATGTTTTCAATAATTGGTTTAAGTGGAAAATATTGTGAAATTCAGTTCACCATATCGATACCAATCCTTTCCTTTTCAAGCTTTCTCAATTTTTTTTAAATCTAATATTTTTTCTATTTTTTATAATCTTTTTCGACATTTTTGAAAATGGATTCGAGCAATACTATCCAACATGAATCAACTTGTTAAGACTCGATCAATTTGAGTTATTGTGTAAAAATGGGAATTTTATCAGGGGTGTATGGGGACATACACCATTGACCAATGACTTAGAATCGGGATACAATCATGTATGTCAACATGTTAAGTCAATCCACCCTTGCTGAAATCCTTATTTTCTCAGAAGAGCTCAACTTGATCGAATCTCAACAAGAACATATTCATGTGGGATATTATTGCTAGAATCAATTTTCATTGTATAGTAAGAATGTGGATTCTTAAACAGGACATTAAAGCTTAAATGTGGAATGTGGATTCTTAAAATGGACATTAACGCTTAAATGTGGAATGTGGATTCTTAAACAGGACATTAAAGCTTAACCAAAGCCATTTGGCATTTTTAGATAGTACTAAGGCAAAACAAAACGTGTCAAACGTAAATTTCCGTTTAAAAATATTTTTTATGGAACACATGAATTCCTTAATGTAGCTAAGCTCTTTTGCTTACAGATTGTTGGCTACAGAGAAGATCCAGATTATTTTCGCAATTGTATCATCTCAGCTCGGGACTGCTACGGTCCTATTTACGTCTTATGCGTGGTGGTGGATGGACACGAAGAACAAGATGCTTACATGGCCGAGACAATAACGGAGGTGTTCGGGCATGAAAACACCATGCATATCATCCTTGACGACATAGCTGCTAATATTGACGACGGGAAATGGAAGAAAGAGGTTGTAAAGCCGGTCTCTGAGTACCTTGGGGATGGCAGCGAATACACTGGTAAAATAAGACCTTATGGTGGCAAACAAGGATTCAAGGTTCTCACTATTAGACAACTGCACGAGGGAAAACGCTCTGCAATGCACTGTGCGATGCGATTGCTAATCGATCTCGGAATTGATTATATTATGATGACCGACTCTGATACCCGTCTCGGTCCAAACTCTCTCGCTCATATGATCAATCTGCTGGAGTCTGATAATAACATCGGTGCCGTCACGGGAGACATAGAAATCTTTAACGCCAATAAGAGCCCCGTCTCCTTCCTAAGCGCAGTCAGGTACTGGTTCGCATTCAACATGGAGCGAGCCGCCCAAAGTTTATTTGGAGTTGTTTGGTGCGTATCAGGACCATTAGGATTGTACAGAGCTAGGGATATCAGACGTGTACTACATGATTGGTATTACTCACCTTGTGCCTACGGTGAAGACAGGCATCTTACAATTAGAATTCTTTCTCTTGGCAGAACTGTAAAATATACACATTTGGCAAAATGTACGACAGAATCACCAACCAATTTAATTAGATGGATTGTCCAACAAACACGATGGACAAAATCTTTTTACAGTGAACTTGGCTTTAACTTATTATGGACATTCAGAATTAACTTCTATCTCACTTGGGTCTTGTTATACGAAGTTGTGTACCCTTTCTTCGTCACGGCTACCATCGTCATAGTGTTATTCTCATCATGTCCAATCAGCGTGGCAACCTTGGTTGTGTTAATGGTGTCAATTTGTGCATTCAGAGCGTTAGTGGCAACAGTGATATCAAAGAAACCACGTCTCTTATTTTACTTCATGTTTAGCTTTCTGTATATACTCTTTCTTATTCCAACTAAGATTGTAGCTGTTATGTGTTTGTGGGACACACGTTGGGGTACTTCCAATCGATTATTCGTTAGCAATGGAAATCCTGTTCATCTCATACCAGTGTTTCTATGGTTCTGTGTCTTGGTCATTGGTATCATTTTAAATGAAAACTTGTTCTTTGGTTTGATAAATTACATTTAAATAGTGATGGGAACTCAAACCACTGGCTTTGATGTACGGGGAGGAGAAAAGAGGATTTTTTGATCACACTGAAATATGATTTTACACTTTGCAAATGTTGTACTGTTTTCAGATTTCTACCTAGTAAAAGTCAAATTGACCGCCTGATGTAGTATTTTTTCTCAAAAATCTAATTTTTTATTTTCATTTAAAGAACTGAGCATAACTGTTTGAAATGTTTGGCACTTTTCGATATATTTCGTTTATGCGAACAAGAATTTTCTTTGAGATCTCCCTTAGGTATGACTTTATTACATTCAAATGAAAAGTATTTAAGGTAGATCATGCCTATGAATTCACGTAGAATTAAGGATCTATTTGAAATAAATCGACCACATAAATTGTATCTTCTTTCTGATTTTAGAATCAAAATCTTAATTTGCAGAAATTCCAAGATTTCCCTGGTGATTGCCTTTTATGTGAAAATCAGTGGTTTTCAAAGGGAGGTTGTAAATACCATATTGTTCATTAGGATTGACTTGTTGTCCATAGAGTTCCCAATTTGTAACTTTATTATATCCTACAAAATTAATAGGTAGTGTCGACCAAGATGTTTGATGCCTGTTAAAGATCACCATCTATCGATAAAAATATACACTAAACAAACTCGGACACTTATATTTTTATAATTATTTCAAAATGCTTATAATACAACATTGCATATATACAAAACATGAAAAATACAAATTTTAATACATCAAAAACGTGTTATCATTCATAACATTCATTTAATACAGATGATAAAATGGACTGATATACAGATACAAACATAATGTTTGTTTATCAATATGATTTTTGATACTGGTCACTGTTGACTTTTGTCAGAAAATTAGTTGGCGTGATAATTTCAGTGATAAATATTAATAGAGATTTTCGTCATGCGATCATGAGTATTACTGCGCTATGCAAATTGCCATAAGTCATACTTAAAGTAATACTTAAAAATAGTACAAAGCCAGGCGCCTGAACTTTTGAAATTCCGTTTTTGACTAATCTATTATCTGACACACTGACTAAAAATTTTTGATATGTTAAAGGAATACTATACTCTTTTATTAGGCATTGTATAATTGAACATATCATCTTCAAGTTGATTTGTATTTGCCGAGGATTTACACTATCATAATTTACTTCTGCGATTCATTTTTATTAGGGAACCTGTACACATGTATGAATAAAATCGAGTACCAAACATGCCTTAGTTGGTGAAATATCACGAAATCAAATTCAAAAATTACCGTTAATATCGGCACCTTGCGCACATTATATTCGCACCGCTTGTTTTCGGATAGCACAGTCTGCACAAAGTGGGTACGATTCATTTAATAGCATTTTTATCAATATTTTAAGTTCTTTTTATCAAAACATTTTTACCACCTGACCTTTATGTACATGTATGGGCAGGGCGGAACCTTAGATATCACCCTGTGTCAAACGAAAAGGTTTTATTGACATAAGTAAATATATTATGTTGTTATATAATAATATATCATTTCTAATTGTAGATATCCACATATTTTGGCTTGCACCATACGACTATTATTTAAAAAGTCATAAATATAAAGTTAAAGGTTAAACGACTAATTATAAATACAGGCACTAACAAGTAATTTATTATTTAATAAAATTGTTTATTTGGCAAGAAATCTTAAAACATCACCATATTCAAAACCGTTTCCATTATTCTAGTCCCGAGTGGCAAAAAAACATGTCAAATTGAAGGAAACATATCCCACAAGGACGAGATGATAATAAAACTTTAGGGTGTTTTTGGACACGAAGCAACTAATTATTTTTGAAAATTCCACACGGGCACAACAAAACAGACAGTCATTGAGGCTTAAATTGTAATTATCTGCGAAAAGTATTTTGATGTAAAAAACAATTACAAACATTGATAGGCATTTTTACTAAAATAATATACCTAACTACCTGTATAAAACGATCTATATATTTCGATATCTATAACAATTACAATCGACACGTATGATGGAATGAGCTGAATATTTTGTCAGTTCAGATATGTTTTGTAGGCACCAGTATTGAAATCATATGCTTTCTTAATTGTTTCCCTCGTCGTCGCAGATAGCAATCACTCAGGTCGGATACTTAAAAAATGAAAATGAAAATATTGAAGTAAATCATTATGATTCAACAGATCCATGGAACGCCGAAAAACATCTTAAAAATATTCATGTATGACTTTTCAAATCGGATATGGTACATAATATGTATGGTCTATAAATATCAGTATGATGTAAGGTGCTGATTTTCAAAAGATCGCGTCTACCTTTCAGCCTAGCTTTCCAATCGTTAAATGATAAAACAAATCACACCAATCAGTATGAATTGATAAGAAATGTTTTCTTCGGCATGAATAACGCATGAAAGAAGATTCACTTGTAGACAAATGGATATAGTGACCCCATCCGTCAATAGAAATTAGCCTGTCATACTCATGATATGGTTTATAATTTACAGTACATAATGAAAGTATTTAGTTCAGCATATTGAACTCTCTGACCTACTATCGCTTGATGGAGCCATAGTCAGTACTTAACTTACGACTTATATATCATGAAGATAATGAAATTGAATATCTTATTTTTAAGATATTTCAGTTAAGTGTTTTGACATTTTGACTATTTATCTAACTGGCTGCATTGAAAGTTCTAATATACATGTATAACAGATCTAACATTCAAACCGCAAACTAATCATCAGACAGTGAATACGTTAAAACACCTTTAACAATTTATTAAACGTTTTCCTAAACGTCTAACACACACAATGAAGTATAATATATTAATACTATAAGGGTAAATGTCGTATGCGTTCAAAATAAAAAAAAACGCCGTCTTATGTTTTAATAATTAGGCAGGTATCTAAACAACAAGGCCATGTATCAATAACAAAGGGAAAAGGATTATGGGTTTCAGGAACCAAATGAAATATTCATATTTGACGAACAAACGTAAAAAATATCTTTGGGTGTGGGTAATAAAATATTTCACGTTTGCCTAAGAAAGCCCATGAGAGTATTAGCTTTTTGTTTCAAAGGGGCGACAATTCTGGTATTTCTTCTTATCATATCTTGGCATACCTAACACTTTATTTCTTTAAAACGTTTGTGATCTTAATTGCAATGATTACAAAAGATTTATAGGAGGGCGTCCGATTTTTTCAATTCTAATTTTGGACATCAATAAAATAGGGAGTGCATAGAAAATACGATAATCATTTGACAATCAATAGCTATTATGAATACATAATACATTCTTGCTAATAAATTATATGATTGTGAATATAGAACTTAGAAGATTGTACCTGGTCTTAGGAACCATACAGAGAGAGAGGACATTGGCTAAGGTTCCACAATGTTCGGGCAAAAAGTAAGTCGAACTTTGTATGCTAGAATTAAGAATCGAATCAATCATACAATAAAATTTGCAAAGAACAATTACTCCTGAGTTCCCGTAGGATATTTTTGATAATATAATCATTTGTTATTATCGAATGGTAGACGCAAATTTCAACATATGTTTAAATACGTCTTGAGGGAAAAGACCTATATTTCAACAATCACTGGTCAATCAATTTCAAAAATCAACATTTTTTGCGATTCGTGAAATAAAAAATGTTACTTTTTAGATATTTCAAGAAAATGTATCCTTGCACATCCCTCCGAAAATGTTCATCAAAATAAGGGTTATATGGAGTTTTGGATATGGGTTTTATCCAGAGCGAGGGACCGTGGGGACCGATGTGCATGTCTCACGAGAGATAAATCCCATTTCCAAACCGACTTAACTGTTTTATCCTATACCAAGAGGAGTTTTCTACTTTTTCAACATTTTTTTTTTATTTTTTGATCAGCATTTTTCAACTTTTTTCGAAGCGGGGAGATATACACGGGAGCTGGAGATATGACGGGAGAATGGATGTTCTGGATATGGAAACCTCAAAATCAGGATACGGGATATATCTTACTAACTTGTCTCCCTAAAACTCTACTTGGCAGAGGATAATGCTTTTTATATTATGAATACCAATATCGAAGTTCCAGTACTTGTACAGATAAAATGTTTTAAAATTCTTAATTGAAAAATTATCAAAGACTCAACCATGCATATAGTAAAAATATTAACCGTGTTATATTTTGATATACTACAGTTAAAGCTTCTCCAAAAGTGGAATACAATTCAACTACCTTTAAATGAATGACAGGATCTGACAGTCCTCACTTCCCTATCGGTAATTAGGACTGCCAAATAAAACTTTTGCAGGGGATGTATGAACATTTCATTTTTCTTATTACAACACTACAATGAGCTAAACATAAAAACAAAAATAAGCAACCAATCAAAATGACTAGAGCATATTTACGAGGCACATTTGAGCAAATGTTTCTGGCAATGGGGTTATATACAAATAGCAACCCTGGTTTTCTGGCAGGGCGATTCACGGGACAAACACGGGCCAAAGTTGCAAATTGCGGGTATGAGACAGTAACTCTTAATAGTGTTATTAGCGAATAACAAATATAAGTGAGCTGTAGTTGGTATTTGCTGTCTAACTGTATCTATCTGACATAATCATATAAAGCATATTCAAGAAGGATTGTCAGCCATTATTCAAACTCGATACTCTGTTGCATGCAGTGGAGCAATATTTCTATAAGGTTCTCTTTGGACCAAGTTTTCCGTTGATAGATGGTCATTTCGAATATTTTGGTAGTGATTAAGCTTCCTAAGCAGTTCTAGTCTTCAAAATATGAGTAATATTGTTACCAAATTGGTCGACGCCATGCAACAGAGTACCTAGCTTGAATAACGTCTTCCAATCCTCCTTGAAGGATATCCATGGTCTTGCGCAAGCGCAATTATTCACAATGTCCCGTATTTTCCCCTATGTACAAATAATTTAGTGACACACTTATATGAGGAAAGAGGAGAAACGATGCGAGATAAAAAATAGGCTTTCAATTTTATTTTGTCTTGGGTGGTTTCATTCAAGATGCAAAGTGAAAAATTCTCCCACAAGATAGATTTGTTAGCCACGTTTATGGTAAAATGAACGCATACGTGAAAAGTGTGGGTTTTCCTATTTTGAATTTTTAAGACATTTAGAAAATAGATTTTTGGAAATGAACTATTTCTACAGTCGTCTCGTGTCTACTCCTTCAGTATATATACAAAGTGAATTGGTGTTCTTCCATATACTGGTGATTTAAAAAGCAGATACTAAAATCGACGATATAGAAAAACATAAATATTCAGACATTCAGCTACACAATATCATAATATTTTACAATTAAGCTCGTATTTACACTTAATATATACAGTTCCTGTGATAGTCTTAAAATGGAATGTGGATATCATAAAACACACAAAACGCACAAAACGTCGATATATCTATCGCTACAACCATGGACTTAAAAACCTCAAAGTTAAAAATGCTTACGTGAAAAATGCATCGTTGTTTATTGCATTGATATTAGGGAGGTTAGACTTCACGTGAACAAGATAACGTGTACGTGAATGTGTAGAATTATGGTCGTTTTGGGAATAGTTCTATCCACTGAAGTATTTATTTGCCTGATTGCATATAAGGATATAAGAAGAATAGCTGAAATTTGGTCTGTGGAAAAATCAATTGAAGAGGGGACATTGGGGTCTTTATATTACATGTTCACGTACACGCGAACCTTTTCACTCCCTACTGAGATAGAATTACAAAAATACCCTGCATGCTGATAATTACATTACTCGCTTCAAGCATGGAGGAGAGCCACATGACATGAGTGTATGAATACCCCTCTCTTTTTACTCAACTAGTTGTTCAGGAAATTTCCTAAAGTTAAGAATACCTAAAGTCAATCGTTTCCTTTGTGTGACGTCACCATCACCATGGTGAAAACAATTGATTTGGGAATTCTTAATCTTATAGGTCACCTAATAAAATAGTTAGTGTTACCTTGACTAATAGTTCATTTACCTGAACTTAAAGTTCACTAACCTCAATCATATTTCTTCTCCATTTATGCAATAATTTCGTAATCAGATCAAAATACAGTGATTAAGTACAGAGGTGTGACTAGGGTATAAAAGTATCATGAAACACAGAATCGAACATATAATAGATTAACTGTAAATCAAAAAAACATGCACTATGAGCTTATAAATCACAAATACATTCTTTGTTAAGTACAACTTGACATTGTTTTATGAAATGTTGACTTGACACCCCAAGTAATGACCTTTAACTTACTTTCAGACTCTTATAAATCCATTTAACAGGTTAATTAGGTATACATATAATCGTTTAAACCATCGACTTATACATCATTCATTTATAAGTGCCACAAGTATTATACATTATCGGGTTAGTCTCCTTTTTCGGTTAATGAACCTTTATACAAAGCAACAAAACTAGTAGGGGTCACTAACGGAAACTTTTTAATAAATCGTTGTATGTATGGATTTAACGATGGCTTCGTAAGAAGTGTAACTCTTTGGTTTTAGTTAAATGACCCAACTATTTGTCTAGGTTTCCGAACTACTACTTCAGTTGAAACAGTGATATTGAAAAAGAGAACATCGTTCTCTCTTTAAGGTATCCCTATCGAGACATATTTCACCATGCGTGTACAGATTGAATACATACTATTCCGTTGTAAAATTCTTTTCAAAAACTTCAAATATCATAATTTCTATATAAGGCTGACAATAGATGGCATGATGCATGAAATTAATTGATTGCTCTGTATTGTACACATTAACTTATTGATATCACTTCAAGTATCCTCGAAGCTAAATACGATTGATATTCGAAGAAAACTTCATATTAAATCGTCTGACTTATGAGGGTTGATTTCCGAAAAGAATTGTTCGCGTAGAGTATTTTTCGTGTATCGTTCAAATATGATTCATTTTTCTTCTATCCACGTCTGCACTGAATCCAATTTTCCGATCAATGACCATATCATCCAAATTTGAGATAGTTGAATATGGTTCGAAATCACAGACTTTCCATCGACGTCAAATCCTTTCGTATTTCTTCTCTACAGGCGTATTATTATTTTACGTGTGAACCGACATTTCTGACCATCAATAATCACTATTTCTTAAGATGTCAGTTAATATTTCTGGCTACAAATAGCTTAGTAATCATTCATCAACTATTTTTCAGATATGAATCGGTATTGAGGGGTTCATCGGTAATCGTAAGATTTGGACGAATTTTTTCCATTCAATACCATCCTACTCTTGTTAAAATGAAAGCCAGTCTTTCTGAAAGTCATCATATCTTTATGTTCCTCAACTGGCAACTTGTCACGACTAACGTGAAAGGGATAGTCTGGTTTGTCATGATGAGAGTCAATGTATTATGTTCATATTAACAAGGTTCATCTCTTATAACATCATGCCTGGACTTGTACTTTTCCTAAAGTTTCTCTAATGTTCATATTGACAAGCTTTTCCAAACGATCCACTTGTCTCTCAACATCATCGCTTGTATATGAACTGGTGATATTTTCTCTTATCTTCATATTAACAACGATATTTCGATCAACAGACTAATCGCTCAACATCATGTCTGAACTGGTGTTTGTGAACTTGGATCTGTAACGGTAGGTGCTTCGGGGTCCGTTGCTGGAGCTGTTTGTACCTCGTTGATAGGATGTATTTTATTTTCTGGAATAAATGTGAAGTTTTTTGTTATTTAAAAAGACATATTGTATTTCCGATGCAATTAGTATCACAACATATTAATATTACAGACACTAATATGAAAAAATAGTCAACAATTGATTGAGATTAAAAAGTATTTATTATCAGTAGAGAAGACAATTATACAGACGAAGCTGGTTTATAAATAAACGGTTTCTAAATGTTGGGAGAGGGTATTTTGTGTTGGACACTGTTTATTTGTACGTACGCTAGGTCATGCTTTAAAGTGCTAAAAATATACTTTCTTGACAGGTTATAATCTTGGTGTTATGATATGATAACGAATGTACTATTTTTGGTAACGTGGCCAATATCCAGTATATAATTATATAATGAGTTAATAGTACTAATGCAATATTTAATAGTACATACAATATCTAATAGTACATACAAACACGTCGTCAACCATAGTTAAACATATAGTAGGGCGTCTTACGTTTCAAAAAGTAAAAATTGTCATTCCATACATAAGTCAAACATAATTTATTTCTGAATCAGTTTAACGCAAGAGGTCATCAATATATCTAATTAATTACTTTGTTGTTCAATTAATTTGATTTTTTGACATTATCATTTTAAAATATATTTCGCTGAGGTTGATCTGTCAAACGTCATGCCATTTACTTTACATATATTTCACTTGTAGGATAACATAGTACTTTGGTAACTGAACCAATACCAGACGAATGATTCAAAAATTTTAAAGAGAATTATTGATTAATTGTTAATTGACATTGATATGTTGGACATAATCTAACCTGTGCTACCGTCTGTGATGGAGCAAGTCAAATTGATACTGGGTGGAACCCATTGGGGTGCAAAGTTGAACCGAGGTCCTCTCGGGACTTAACAAGTGCAGTCTATATTATTAGTTTACATATTAAGTTTTTTATTTAAGTGTAGGCTCCAATTCTCAAATTCTGATGTTCTGGATCCACTTGTGAAAATGTTCAAATTTTATATATTGTATAAAACTGTTTATTATTTCTAAAATATTGGGCTATTCAGTATTTGGGGAAATAAAGGTACAATACAATAATTGTAGTCAGAGGGCATGATATTTATATCATTTTGCCTGTAATAAAATTGCGCATTTTCACGTGACTTGAGTCAAATCAATCAAGGTATGTCAACCCCCAAGCACAGATGCAGTTTAGAATTATGTAATATTAAAGAATTTACTGGCATTTAGAATTAAAACATTGACACATTCTAGTTGACTAATTGATGGATAGTTTATATATATCGCAATTAAAATAATTTTTAATTAATAAAAGTTACATAAATATAATTTGCAATGAGAGAATTCGAAAAAAGTTATAAAAACATTTCCAAATACATCAGATTTAAGCATGCTGTTCTTTACAATAATAGCTTCCTAAGTTTCTGTTAGATCTTACCTGTAAAACATATTCATAATTAAGTAACCATATTTTCAACAAATTATTGTTAAGTTGACCAAAGGTTCACTGACTTGGGATTGGAATGCCAAGTTTGTATTTCATGTGTAGTGAGACTGTTATTATGGATGTTTTAAAACATTGGCCTTACTTTCTTTGTTCTTGGTTGTTATGACGGCACAAACGATTGTCAAGGCGACCACAAACAACGCAGTTCCAAGTAGAGATGCCGTGACAACAATAACTGAAATAGAGATTACTACAAATTAACCATAGGCCCATACATAAAATAGTCTCTAGATTTGATACTTTTATAGTGTTGATTTATATTAGATGATATCAATAGTATCGATGCTGCAATATTAATTTAGTTTTGCAATATTTATCAAATAAACGTAATTTAACATTGCAAAGCTAGATGACATATGTCTATGTAATATAATTCATCAAATATAACATATATTTCAAATAATACTAAATGTAATAAAATACAATATGATATTATGCAATATTCAATGTAATATACTATTATATTATATAATATACTATAATATAAGATAATATGATATGATATAATGTAATATAAAATAACATAATATACAATAATATATAGAGGATATGATGTTTTTTGAGGGATACCATTTTTATCTTTGAGTGGATAGGGCCCATCTCGACGAGTGAGCACAGCGAATGAGTGGAGATCGGCGATATCCAAGAGAGGATAAAAATGATTGCCCGAGAAAATCATAGGATATCACAATTATCCGTTGGTCGCTATTTTGTATAGACTTGTAATAATAATTTGACCCAAAAGTTGTTGTTATCTAATTCTTTCTAATTTTCCATTTTATTTTCTGTGAACTTATGTTTACATATATGATTGCATGAAAAAATTTAAGTCAATTTTACTGAGCAAATAATCTTGGAATTATATTGTTGCAGATCAATTTTGCAGATACGATTTTAGTGGCGAATACCAAAATTAAATTGTGTCGTTATCCCCATATATATTTAGTATCTATCGGATAAAATATAATATAATTAATTAATTAATATTTAGCCATTATGTCCCTATCATTGAATATATGCCTGAGGTCTGACGTTAATATAGCCCGAGCTCCTTCAGCTCCATTGACTTCCATACAAATGCTTCGCTAGGTATGTAATACAAGTATATAAGTCTTTATTAATATAATATGGATGTATTGTATGTGCTAAAATTGAAATGGAATTGTGTAATAAAATATATATAGTTTCTTACCAACGTAATACCAGTTGTCCTCAGTTTCATCTTGGTCAATAATATTCACCAGAATAACCGCCTCCTCACTCTCAAACAACTCTGCACTCTGATTCTCTTTAGCTTGGACCTAAAAGAACACGGGGCTTGATTTAACAACATGTTTTTTATTTTATGTTTTTATTTACCAGATTTGATTTCATTCAGTTATTTTGGAGTTATGCAACACTCGCTCCATTTAAAATCGGTTATTTCTATGAAGAGTTGGATTTGTAGCTTGTTAGATTTCGGAAATGGTTTAACAAAATGTAATGGTACACTTCGCTCTGTACGTATCTCCGTAATCTAGAAGTTCTCTTTCGAATCATTCACCAAAGTCTGTTTATGTTTGCCGATTTAAAAGAATCTTCATTGTCCTAAAATTGTGATCAAGGATCAAAATATGAAAATAAAGGATGTGAAAACAACATTAGGGATGTGAAAAAACAGTCGGGATGTGAAAGCAACTGTCAGGATGTGAAAGCAATAGTGGGGAAGTGAAAGAAAAATTCGGGATGTGAAAGCAACAGTCGGGATGTGAAAGCAAAATTCGGGATGTGAAAGCAACAGTCGGAATGTGAAAGCAACTGTCAGGATTTGAAAGCAATAGTGGGGAAGTGAAAGAAAAATTCGGGATGTGAAAGCAACAGTCGGGATGTGAAAGCAAAATTCGGGATGTGAAAGCAACAGTCGGAATGTGAAAGCAACTGTCAGGATGTGAAAGCAACAGTCGGGATGTGAAAGCAAAATTCGGGATGTGAAAGCAACAGTCTGAATGTGAAAGCAACTGTCAGGATTTGAAGGCAACAGTCGGGAAGTGAAAGCAAAATTTGGGATGTGAAAAGCAACAGTCGGAATGTGAAAGCAAAATTCGGGATGTGAAAGCAAAATATCTTTAGTCATCTTGATTGACCAATTCAAATAACAAAATCGGGGTTTAAATTAAAGGGAATCTTATACTTTCTTTGCTAAAGGTTCTTATCTATAAACTTTTTCAATGAACCTCATTAAGTAAATATTGAAATTTTGTTACTCATCATTTCAAGACACTTTATTTCGGGTGTGGCGTTATCCATGTTCTTTCTCATAGAATATAGCGCGGGTTTAAGATATTTGCTGTCGTGCTTAAAATATGGTTTCTGAGGTTTAATTATTCTTTAACATATTTGTTCTCAGGAGCCATAGATTACTGACATTGAATTTATTGATCTGATGTACAAATTGTGGTCATCTGTTTAATTTAGCGATAGTCACCAGCTAAACGCGTATGCTAGGCCCAATGCTAGGTGATCCTGGATCGAAATCCATTGACACAATCGTAGACAATTCACATGAAGTGTACAATATGCCCCCGCCTATTGTGAAATCATGTCGAAGTCTTCATGAACATAATCAATATAGGATGCAGCTACAAAGGTCCATGTGCAGTATGGCAAGAGGTTTTAGACGGTCATATCTTTCACCATGAGTAATTTCTGGCCATGAATACATTGGTTTTTATAAAACAATATGTTTTCTTTCAAGTGAAGTTCCTGTGATAGTAAAATATCAATCCAAATCCAAATCATTATGGTTTAGGACCCCATCTGGGCACCTTTTAGAAAATGTTCTTTTTCTCGATTTAACCATATCGAAAGTTTCTTCTACACTATATTTACACCTCCTGAAAGGGGAATTGGTATTGGAATGCGTTAAAGTTAAAAACCACATATCCCATGTTACTTTCCCATAGAGAAAACTCGTGCTATCCATTGTTTTCAGCATAATTTTGATCATCGAAAATTGAAGAAAAGAAGTTTTAGACCCCTTTTTGAATAATCTTTTCATGCAATAAAAATCAGAAAAATTAGATCCTCTTTTTAGTAAATAGGTTCAACATTTTGAAAAAATTGTTGACATGGGGTCCCTATTCATAATTTTTCGAAATGTTCGATTGAAATTTTTATCATCATGGGTACTTCACTTGAAAAAAAACATATTGTTTTAATAAAAAAAAAACTGTATTTATGCCCAGAAAGTGCTCATGGTGAAAGATATGTCTGTCTAAAATCACTTGCCATACTGCAAATGGACCGTTAGAGTGGTACCGAGTTAAATTTATAAATCCAATGAATAACTTGATAAAAATAAAGATGTCATTTATAGTAGTTTATTGTGTTTTTTAAGATCGCGCAACAGTTTCAATATAACTTCATAGTATCATTCTGATTTTGGGACTCCATATATTAGAGATGGGCCTCAGTTGTGCATGGAGATTTTCATTTCCGTACCTACTTATCCAGACTGTTGGTGGAACTTCGTCCTGAATTTGGTCTCCAGTTCCATAAATTTATAACACTAAAACCCTTTGGCAAGGAGTACAATACTACCCTCTTAAGAGTACATATAAATATACATTTTTGACGTTTAAAGATCTTGATAACCCAGGAGTTGATTTTATATCCTGCCCTGAATGGCCCTAATTAAACTCTTAACAAGAAGTATTACTTTATTCGTGGCATGTAATGGCCATCCAGAAGGGGACCATTATCCCATTTTTATAACTGGATACATCATATAGCGTATCCCCGTATCAAATAAGTGATTTGCAATTGCGTTTTAACACTGTAGCTGACCTTAGACACAGAATACAGTACTAAGCAAATCACAGGTAAGACCTACAAATTGTATAGAACATCAAGTGTCTAGGTAAGACACACAATAAATAAACTTACGATAAGTGTCAGATTTTTTACTGTTTCGTAGTCCAAAACGTTGCTGTTTTTCACCACTATCCGCCCTGTCTCTTCGTCTATTTTAAATGCACCACTGGAATCATTTAGGCTGAATTGAAGTTTGGCATTGCTTCCCTAAAACCGACAGTAGACATCTTAAGTCTGGTGTAATATATTAAAGAGGACCTGGTTCATATCATGATTGATATTTCTTTTAAGCCTCTGTTAATTCATGCTTCAAATCTCCATTAGAAGGTGGTTTAAAGTATAATTACGTTCAATCGGTACTATGAGCTCATGCAATCAGAATCAAACAAAGGGCGAACATTTGATCAACAATTTTGTGTTGATGGGTGTTGGTTGATATGTAGGATATCAGAGTCAGATCTACTTGATATATACCTTTCATGGATATGTAAACTAAAGGACACGTCTGTTTACTTTAGATAGCCACCATTCGATAAAAGACTGTCTAAATTCGGCTACATTTTCTTCCGTGAAGCTTTGAGGCTTTTTTAATTTTTTCAATGTTAATCTAATCTGGGTTTCAGAAATGTCGATACATAGAGAAACTAACTTCAACAGCATATGGCTTTATAAAAACTATACAAAATACCGTGTGAAATATTAGCACGGGGTTTTGCAATTGTTTTATTTCACAAACCCCATTTATGAGTACACTGACGTCACCGGCGTTATTCTACTGTATCTAAAGAAATTGGGGCATGGAATTTGTTCTGAATTTAATAACTCCATTGAAGTAAGAAACTTACTTTTAGTGAAGTAAAAACAATGATACATAATACTTTTTATTAGTTTACTTTGTGAATGAAATAGTATATCGATGAAATCAATCTTAAAAACGCAGACTATTGACACGCTAGACGCTATACAACGAGTGGAAGTAGCCGTCTGTAAAAGGTACCCAAACCAAAGCTGTATGTTGAGTGCAGATTAATATACCTAAATGGCCTTGAACCTCCGCTCTATTAGGGCGTATAAATACATATTCATCATAAAGATCTTTGTTTAAACTCACCAAGTCCCCATCAAACGCCTTGATAACAAGTACTTCAATACTTTCAGGTGTGTTTTCTTTGATACTGATATTGTACAACATTTGCTCTAAGACAGGGTAATGATCGTTCACGTCATCAACTACTATTAACACAGTTGAGTAGGTCACTCGGTCATTGGGACGGTTTGTCTGGAACGCCTATAAGAAAATAATTAATCTACTAGATTTTTATAGGAATGAGAAGGGATGGAAAGTGTGAAAGGTTGACAACAATTCAGTCAAAATAATGTAAAGTTTCCCTTACAATCGCATTTTTAAAAATAGGGAAATAGTTGAAATTCTAATGCAGAAATGTCCAAAATAAAAATAAACGAAAAGAGAACGTCCGCTTTAAAATTATTTGCCAATTAACACTGAAAATTGAAGGATTAGAAATAAAATGGAAATGGAATAAAATGAAATGAAATGGATGAGATCAAAAGCATCGAGATGTAGCGTGACATTTACTTCACCAAGGGTGTGATTTCATTGCATTCAGAGTGGAATTTGATCTTCCCAAATATTATATAGAAAAAATGTTAGTTCTGACTCAGCAAATAGTTTTACAACTTGAGTTTTAGACCAAATATTATGATATAGGCTCGGTTAGGGTCAATTTGGTCTGCCCACGCTGCTTCTTTTTATTAATTCCTGTCTTTTTGAAATAATGTTGAAACGATTTCGAAGAAAACGTTCGGGTATTTTGAATTAAATGCGTTCTTATAAGGATTAGTTTCAGAGGATTCGATTTAATGATTTTGTTATAGTGAATCGATTTATTGTATTAATAATTGATTTGAAGGTTCATCCACTGTAAATATTGACAACTTTAATGATTCTGAAAACTTCATTCAGTTTTATTTACTTGTAGCGTTACTTTAATAGATACTTCTCTTTACTTGGATTTGATCAGAATCTATAGAATAACAAATTTACATTAGTTTTTGCCACCTTTAATAGTATCTAATGCCACATATCTTTCTCAAACATAAACGGTTACAGGGGTTGCCCAATTATGAAAACAAGGCAAAATACAAAATTTGAAATGCATGTATTTGATTGATGTAAGGATGGCTTTAATCGATTGTTCATACTACTCAATAAAGCATAAACCTGCATTAATGTTCACGTCGACAAGAAGAGAAGTTAATATTTATTTTATTGTTCCACTCATAATTTCTTAGTAGCAATATTTACAATGTGACGCATAGGGTAGAACATGTATGTTATTTTTTAAATAATATACGTTAAATAGATAATCAAAACTCATGAAATTGTATTTGACGCCCGATTGAATGACGTGGAACATTTGAGATTTTAGGAAGACCTGATTCTATTCAAAGTTTATTTGCAAATATCATAACATTTAGGAGGGGCTGGGTAAATGCGTACGTCATTTGCCTCTCGGAATTTGATTGGTCGAATGATTTTCTGTGACAGAAAACGTGATAATAAAAAAAATGCTGGATTTATTTTTGATTTGTCATGGAGCAAAAATAGTTTTGATACTTGAATTTCACAATCTTTAAGGTGAAAGCATGATCATTTAGAAAAATCAAGTTCTATTGTTGAGGGCACGTCAAGATAAACATATATCTACCACACCCATATCCAATAAAATAGTTCGAGAGTGTGTCACGACAATGAAAAAATAGCTTGTGTTATTTCATGTCCATTTATCTCTAAAACATGAATATAATGTTTGCATGCCGCTTACTTATACGTCATTCTATTTTTGGACATCTCGAATTGTCCCATTATGTATAACTGCAGATCCAATCAAATATCGGGAATTTACTCACATTAGGTACACTATTTTGTATTATCCCAAGAAATATCTCAACTTCATAATAAATTACCCCACATTGACTAATATTTATTAGTTACTTTACCCTGTACAAGTGCCTAAAATGATTTCACAACTTTTCAAGAGTATTAGTTAATTATAGGTACTTAAACGATGCGCTTTTCATGGGGGGTTCATAATATTATATAATATGATATAATATAATACAATATAATATAATATAATATAATATAATACAAATATGACATAATATAATATGTAAAGATTTTAGCCCTGAACCCAGTGCAATGTGTAATGGCCATTCCTTGGGGGTGTTGCTTTCCAAAATGTGTACGAGATGCGGAGCATGGAGGGTTAATTTAAGGAAACAACGCATGGAAGGAATGGTCATTACACGACGCATTGAGTCTTGGGCATAAATTCTTTTCACACAAAGTAAAATAGTTTCTTCAAAATTATCTAGAAGGTATAAAATCACTAAAAGAACATATTTTCAACTTTTTGCAATGATCCAGGTGGCAAAGTATCATTTTTAATCTGTAGAATCCAGTCATCACCATCAATAATGCTGTCGTGATTAAATGGGCGACTGATAGTTTTTCTATCAGCATCGCTAAGTCTATTATCTGATTATTAAGCCAGTAACTACCCCCCCTCCCATCCAAATGGAGATCGACTCCTGATTGCTAACTATCGGCACTTCCGCGGGTTGTTTAATATCAGGGAAATATGATGTTCTTGTATCACCCCATATCTTTTTGGGATCGGCTATTTGGACCTCAGAAATATGAATCACTTACCAAACATTATATTTGAAAAAAGCAAAAAGTAAATACAACGCTTTAATATCCAGCACAAACCTTTATTGTCAAGTTGTAGAAGTCAATATTTTCTCTGTCTAGCGTCCTCGTTGGGATGATATGGCCAGTTGTAGAGTTTATGTGGAAATATGTTACATTGTCAATGGTACTACCTGAATAAGAAGACAATGATGAATTTGTTTATAAATGTTGAAAAAATAAATTGTATTCTATAACTGTTGAAAAAATTAAAAAAAGTTTATGTAATTGTTTGAAAGTGTTAACCTGTCGCAAAAAGGTCGCGCACGCATTGTTACACATTTTGTGGCGTAATCCAGAGGATCCTCGCTTTTAACATGATAGAATGTGACGTTTTTGAGAAAAATGTACACACATGAAAATCCTTTCGTCCTCCACATTTACCTCTATATCTCAAAACCTTTTAGACGAATAACTCTGATATCATATATATTGTTAATGGGCTAGGAGCATCATAAAACACGAATCAATTGATATTTTAGGTAAAATAAATATACGTGTTGCTGTGCTTGAAAATAGGCGAATGGCGTAAATTAGCCCTATTTTAATGAATTTTGAAAACCTTTCGTCCTCCACTTTTCCACATACAACAGAAAACACATACTTTTGCGCACAAAATCAACTATTTATTAATAATCTAGAGTTTAGGAGCAAAATAATCATGTTTGATTTATTAAAAATTGATCTCGTATTTTTTGTTTATCCCACGATTAATGTGTTATCTGTACAATAACAGCTATTGATATTTCTGATATTATTGAAATCCGTGTGATATTTTCCAGAAAATCGTTTATCAAACTCATATCCGTGTGATATCGTTTATCTCACGCATATCCGTGTGATATCACATCTGCATTTCGCGCCACAATATTGTTGGAAATTAGGTCAGATAATTTATTCTCTTTTGAGAAAATTGGTCCGTTAATTTATTCTCTTTAAGTTTCATTGGTGTATTGAATTATATATCATGTTATTTACTTTTAATTTATAATTGTTAAAATAAAGTGTTTCAAATATTCAATTGATATTCTAATTTCTAGTTTATATTGTCTGCCAATGTCCTGGAAATTGGATCAGAACATCACAAGGTGATTGTAATCATGGGATAAACCCAATATCACATAATTTCTCGTGATATCATTTTATCACCTCGTAGATATCAAATATCAACACTCATTCGCTTCGCTCACTCGTGTTGATATTTGCTATCAACTCGGCGATAAAAATGATATCACTCAAAATGATGTGATATTCTGTATTTAATGTACACCTGAAAAGTTGAAGGTAACAAAGAATGAGCAAAAAAGGTCGCTGTCAACAGATTCTATTTTTCAAACTCTATGACGTCACAATATATAACGCTTACTAAAATTCATCCTTTGAAATAAAACTTCTATCTACCTTTATCAAGACGCCGGAAAAATAAGTATAATAGTCATATATTGTTTCAGTTATGAGCGTTTAAAACGCGCAAGAATTGTGAACGGAGTGTAGTTGATCTAAAAACTTCATCGAAACAGCTTTAAAATGATATATAACTTAATTAGAATATTATCTTATAATCCGGGGAATCAAAGTTACATTCACGCGATACCCTTAAAAAACAAATGCGCCACCTTTTTGCGACACGTCGTTTCATAACTGTTGAAATCAAAAACGTGTTTTAAAATGTGCTTTTTGAAACAATACCTATAAAAAAGTGTGTTTCATAAGCATTTAAAAGATCTGAAAACAACTTTTTATGAACTCAAGAGCAAATTCTCAAAACAAAAGAATCAATACCCTATTAAAATACCCTTTGCTTGTACTTTTTAATATTTGAAACGTTAATATATTTTCCCTTTTGCCGAATGGTTTTTGTGGGTATAACTTATCATTAATGCATCTGTATTTTAGCAATGTAGATTGACACCTCAGTTGAGGGTTAAATAGAAAAAAACGAATTGTTTTGTTTAATTCACAACAAACAGCTGATCAAGGGAACTTTCTAAAGAGACTGTGTATGTATAGCTCATGTAGTTGGTTAGTTATAAAACATGATGCATTGGAGACCTGCTCAAAAGACAGTTGTACTAGGAAAATACGAAATACCCAGTCAGGGCTGACTGCAACCGCAAAAAAACTAAATAACTTCCTAACAATAGTGTTTTGGCTCTTCAAATTTGGCACAAATCATCTTCATTCACTGTATGGTAAATTTGTAAAGTGAAATTAAAATCACTTCAGGGACTTTACAGTTATGGTTGAAATGCTTTCAAATCGCAGTCAAGTGCCCTGGTTCCAGTAATCTTCAGAATGCATGACTATAAAGTCCCGAAGTGATTTTGATGAAACTCCACAAATTCACTACACATTGAATGAAGATAATTTGTGCTAAATATGAAGTGCCAAAACACTTTGGTTAGAAAGTTGTTAGGTTTTATTGCTGTGGCAGTCGAGTTACTGCGTTTTTTGTATTTTCCTAGAACAACTGTCTTTTGGGCAGGTGTCCAATGCATCATGTTTTACAACTTACTAACAACAGGAGCTATACATACACAATACCTTCTTTCTTTTCCCGAAAAAATAAACATAATTGAATTAGCATTTTCCAAGATATAATGATTTTCCATTCGCGTTTTTCGTATTTTCCTTGTACGATTGCCTTTTGAGCAGGTGTATAAGACATCATGTTTTACAACTAACTAGCAACAGGAGCTATACATGCACGGTCTCTTCTTTCTTTCCTGAAAATATGAACACAATTGGATAAGAATTTTCCAAGATATAGCGATTTCTTTGGGTTGCGTTTTTTTGAACACCCTGTATGTCCATTGCAATTACAATTACATATTAAATGACGTCACTTTATTCTATTTTGGAGCCATCAGAACTGACGGGTCCAATAGCAGTTATATGACGAATAAGACACCCTTCAATAAGACACCCTTCAAAAAGTAAAAATGTATGAAATAAAAAAAGACGCCCTTAATTTACTCGAACTTTTGAAATCCCCCTTTATTTGCAGAGCTATCAATTCCATTTGACATTATTTGTCCTATGTGGCCCGATTTAGCTTGAACTAAACTAAAATTTGAACTGTCGCAAGATACATTATTCTAACATTTGCAAGGATTGTCTCCCAGGATTCCTTTGTGATATTCCCTGGATTGAAATGAATCAATTTAGTAATAAAATTACTAAATTTGGTTATCAAACTGCTAAATGATTTTCATATTCAGGCCTCGCATTTCATCTGAAGACGAAAATATAAGGGGAATGACCAAAAACCTTGAAGAAACCTTGAAAGAAAAGAAAATTCTAAGTGTAAACCTGTCATAAAAGTAGACTCTAATATAACCCAAAACCATGATCTAATGTGAAAAGAAAATGTTAAACACCCGCCTCAGTCTCAAATGATGTGGGATGGACAAAATCCAGTCTCGTTGTTTATAGGCAATTCAAAGGGTCATCCATTCACAAGGCTGTTACCATAATCCATAAAACAAAATGTTATAGTCATATAAGTACAAAATTGGTTCATGCCAGACAAGAAATATTGCGAAAGACCCAACTTTAATCCTCCTTATTTGCTTAGAATTATCCTTCAATACTGTCTAAATACTTCAAATTGTATAATTACCGTTAACGATTTCATATGTGAGTTGAGCGTTGATCCCTGAATCTCCATCCGTCGCTAATATCGGTGGTTCCCCTTTGAAACTTGCATTCACGATGGAGTTATCCTGAAAATATAGTATGTACTCATTCTGTTTTTTCTGAGTTTTTCGTTATCTATCTCTGCTCATTTCAAAAGGCTGCAAAAAACAAAAATGGTTTGTTCTTTCATGATATACGTTTGAATATAAAGTATCCATATTTCTAACAGGAAATTAGCTTCTAAAACTTCCAAAATATAAATAAATTGCATTCTTCTTTAAATTGTACTTGAAATATGTTTTATAGTAATTGCTCTAATTATACATTGTTTGATTGGTTACTACTATTAAATACGGGTACAATGTCCTTTCAAAAGGTTTTTGGACTGGACATTTGGATAAATATTTTAATTCATTATACTGAGCTCTTGAAATGTTGCATGACGTCATGTTACCATAGAAAAGTCACTATAACATTTTAAAAGTGTAATGCCCTCACTTCATTCGAATGAATGAATGGAAATAACTGTTCAATATAACATCGAGTAAATATTCTTGCCGGCGACTTTTATTTCATGGTTCTTTATTATCTTGTGGTTCTGCCACACCCTTGCATTTCTTTGAAATAAATCGTTCACCTCAGTTATTTCCCCCCCCCTCATTTTTCTGTGTTTTCAAAACTATGAGTACTACCTCTTTCATAGCGCATATTTCAGCTCAATATATATTGATTTGTCGTTGTTAATTGTTTGTAATATGTTATTGATTTGTTATATTTGTTGATCCTCTTTGCTAACATTAATCCAAATCATCAGTGTTTGATATTTCCAAGATCGCGTCGCCCAGAGACAAAACGGACACTTAAAATTTTGTAAAAAGTTTCAGCTTTCCTATATAATTAAACTGTTACTAGTTTCAGGCCTATTTAAGAAATATTTGGGCTTGGTATGAAAGATAAATAGAAGATGAGATATAAGGAATATGGTATATCAAGATGATTGATGGAGAACAATTTGCGCAAAACGAAAGTGTCGCACGGATGATATACTTTAAAGCTGACGAGGTTGGGTTATTTCGCTAATAGCGACTTGATTAAGTGTGAAAAAACTATTCTTTATTAGATTTTAAGTTTGTGTCACCCCGAAGTCAATGCCCTGGCATTAAACACCCCAATGTCAATGTCCTAGCATTATACTTATATTTAATATAATGGTCTTTTGAAAAATCTTGAAAAATTGTCAAACACCTAAACAGTGGTCACAAACCTCAATTCAAAAACCTAAATCAAATGTATGTTTAAGCCATTCATCAAGAGTGTAATAAAGTATCGTTTTACGCCTTTATTAGATTTGTTAAAACACTAAAAAGTAATATATATCAATCATGCGATCATGTTTGATAAAAAATAAAAGTGTAAATAACCGGTCGTGTAGCCCCCAAAGGTGTGGTTATTTAAGAATAATAATTAACTTGTTAAGGAATGCTTGTTATCCTTTTTGAATTGACATTGCATATCCTTATGATGTTATGATTATGCCCATTGCCCAGTATTACGACTCAGGCTTCAAATAAAACGAAAACCAAAATCTAAATAGAACATCTGGAAACTAATTTCAAGATCACATTCAGTGAACAATGGGGACTTAATAATGTTTGCATGATACTAATATCATTCATGTCACCTTCAACCCGAGAATAATTATCGTTATTGTTTTGAAACTGTTGTAGGTTTCGTTATTTCACACATGCTACGCATGCGCAAGAGTACATGATCAATCAACGATAAAAAGTTTCAGTTTGGCTAGCAGCTCTATATCCAACAAGTGAAACTGTACACATGCATGTGTACATAATACATTCATTCAGTTTTTCGATCATCTAGAAGTATCAAACAATTTGGGAAGTTGGTGTTCCTGCGACTTATATTTTAAACACAAATGCGCGTATAGTCGACTGTAACTTTGTTGAAATAATCAATTTAAGCTAGGCATGCTATATCATATACCAGCCAGTCAAAACACAGTATACAACATAATTTGCATTTTATATTTTACAACAGATGAATGGTTATTTTTGATTCAGTGAAATAGATTACTATACACCCTCCTCAATTTCATAATTTTCAAGTTGACCGTTAAGTGAAAATCTATAGATTGTGGAGAGATTTCGCAGCTCACTTATAGCATGCATTATTTCCAGGTCGTATAACGTGTAACCAGAGACATATTATTATATGTCTCTGGTGTAACTTATGAAGCATTTGATTGTGTCATCATTTATATAAATCGTCGTCTATACGTAAGAATACGGAAGAATCTCCCACTAATGGATGTCTAGAGCTGCGCAATTAATGATGACGTAATGAAACGCTTCATAAATTATACAACATGCTTTAAGTGAGTTGCTAAATCTCTCTATCATACAAGATACCCGTGCTTAAAGTCGTCCATAATCTATTGTAGTCCTGAGATTAAATCCTTTAGAATTCAAGCTTACCTCTTCTTTTAAAAGAATTCTGTAAGTATTAGATGAAAACACAGGAGGTAATTCATCGACGTCTTTGACGTTGACATGCAGATATGTAGATGTCCGCAAACCACCCCCATCCTAAAAATGAACCGTATGCATGGAATTGTTGTTTAATTGCTTCATTATGCCGGTTGGTTTAGGTTGTTAAATGTCGTATCAAATATTACTAATTTAATTTATTTCAAAAACATTACATAAACCCAGTGCATGTAGGGTAATATACGTACCGGTAGTTTTTAAAGGACATTACCCGGTTTTGAACAAATGGTTAACACAATTTCTCGATTAGTATAATTATTAGTATAATTATTTTATTTTCTATATTGTATATCAAAGAATACAAAGTTGCATATTGTTTATTTTTCAAATGTTATCACGAAATGTTCTTTTACCACTGCCAGAATCTCGATCAGGTGAGAATGCTGCGTTTCATAGTCAAGCGATTCGTAAAGAACGACAGCTCCAGAAAGTTTGCTGATCGCAAAGACGTCATAGAATCTCTGAAAAAAAGAACATTTTAAGTTGAAGTGACAGAACCTTTTAACCTTTCAGTCTGGTCATGAAACACATATAAGAACCTGCGTCACATATGCACTTTGATCGATACATTCCAAATCTTTTCTGTAAGCACCAATCATTGAAAAATTGCATTGCTCCCATGGTGAGTGAATTTGCCGCTTTTTAAGATTTGTATGAGACCATTGCCATGCCCAGCTCGTAGAATTGTGACCTTCGAATATCAAGCCTTCTCTTTCAAAAGACAATGTAAGAAATGAAAAAGTTGTTTGAATTATAGTTTATCAAAATACGTTTCTCCAGTACATTTGTCCGGTTGGAAAATCTATGGCATTCTATCGCGATTTTCTTTTGACTGGCAGAAGAGAGTGCCCCTAGCTATCTCCATGTAAAGATGTTCATCTTAACAAAATAGTTTCATCTATGAATTCTGGGACATTTCCCCCCTATTGACTAGCACGGACCAATGTCTTTTGACGGGCATGGTAATAATTATTAAGAGGAGGGAAATCCCTCGGAGATTGGAGATGACATTATAATTACTTCTCTTGCTTACTACCACTATTTGTCTTTTAACTGTCTATAGCTAGTTTACGAATACCACACGTCGATGAAAATCAATTGAAAATACCATCTAGTATCCCCCCCCCCTCTTGTCCTGAGATGGACATTATATTAATAATATTACCAAATTCTTCTATGCCAAAAAGAGTCAAAAGATCTCGACAGTGGCGTAGCGTGGGTATTTTGAGTATTTTTGTTTATTTTTATTTTTTGTGTATTTTAACAATATATTATATTGTTTTACTTAACATCAAAATGATAAATACTAATGAAATAAAATATAACTTGGCAGCGTGGACACCACACGCGTCTAACTTAAAAGCACAACGTGTGTATACTATACATTGTCATACTTAGGTGTGACCAACGTAACAAACAAGCCATAGAGAATAACCTGTTGGTCTCAATCCTCAAGCACTGGTGTCAGGTGATTCAATATTGGCTGCTATTTTTTATTTATTTCGTTTGAAATGTAAAGTTGATTTGACAAAAAATAAACTTTGTTAATTGAAAGTTGAAGGACAAATTGAATGACGTTTTGATTATGAATGAATGTACTTTTACCCCTTATCTTTAGCTTTCTATTTGAATACATCCAGCCATGCGTTCAAAGACTGAATAAAATTATGTAAACTATATTGAACATTATAAGGGGACTTATTGATTAAAGGTTCTCTATGTTCAACTAGCTGGAATTGAATGTTCTGATGACACATCTATGCTTATTTTGAATGATTAAGCACATATTCTAGTTTTTATGTTATAAAAATCTTGTTTGAACGAATCTCTATCTAGCCATATCACCAATTGATGATCGATGTATTGACAAAGAAAGATACCCTTGAGTTTTGCCTCATCGCTTTTCTGAAAAAATGACTCGTCGCTATTTTGATTTGTCTCAAAAATATATGGACAACTTGACTCGAGTTACTGTACTGACACTTTTACCGTTAGCGACCTAGCCTTCGTTCCAATTTGCATATTCGAAAGCCCAAATGATTTTGCAGTTCAGTGCCAAAAAATCAGGGATAGACAATATATAACAAGGCATTAACATGACGAAATGTCACCAGTTGCACAGATTTGAACTTTTGGTAACTTTTAGATGATTTTTTTTTAAATGGTCAAATTGAAGCTAGTTCAAAAAGACCTTTTCAACCTTTTTACTTAGGTGGTTCAAAAAGTTTTGCAGTTGATGCCATAACTTCAAGGAAAACAGGACTTTTGCAATGAAACTTGGTACACATATGTGTTATATATTTATACATTATATGGTAAAATTTGGGACCTCAATTTTGATTGGTTCTTGAAATATGGTTGCTATGGTAATCAGAGTGGTGGGTACCATGTTCAACCTGAAATTACGTTTTTCCAAATAGTTTTCTTGCTTGAATAAACTCTTTGTAAAGTGGCAATTATCAGGTGTAAGTTTCTTTGGGTGGCTATTTTTCTTCAAATTCTTCAATTTTTCTAATTGTCTCTATGACATCACAATAGACAAGTGACACAATAAGTTCCTTTGTGATGTAAACTATCCAAACCCCAGATGAAAAATTGAGATGGAAAAGTGAGGAAATTTTGAATTTTTTTTCCAAAATTTTCAAAATGCCAGATGTTCCCACACCAACCAAATTGATGAAATGGAAGCATAGAAATCTGATACAGTGCATGGTTCAAAATGGCAAGACTTTGCAAGAGACTTATGAACTGGTTCAGGGAGCATTTGAAGAAAAATAGCCACCCAAAGACACTTACACCTGCTAATTGCCACTTTACAAAGAGTTTATTCAAGCAAGAAAACTATTTGGAAAAACGTAATTTCGGGTTGAACATGGTACCCACCACTCTGATTACCATAGCAACCATATTTTAACTTATAATGTATAAATGTATAACACATATGTGTACCAAGTTTCATTGTAAAAGTCCTATTTTCCTTGAAGTTATGGCATCAACTGCAAAACTTTTTGAACCACCTAAGTACCTTGAGAAGGTCAGTGAAGGCCAAGTCTTAAATCTAAAAACCAGATTTGACTTTCTGAGATCGCGTGGATGATTTTGAAAAAATTTAATCAATTTGAAGCAAGTTGAACAAGTTGAAAAAATACATTGTTGACCTCTTTTGACCTTGAGAAGGTCATTGAAGGTCAAATCTTAAGTTTAAAGTCAGATGAGAATTTCTGAGAACTGAAGTCAGACTTAGAAACAGTATTTGTTAACCCACCAACCGCCGTCACAAAAAAGGAGACCATAACAGTATGAGCTCTCATGGGTTTGAAACACGGGATTTAAAATCATTCATGTTCACGTGTTCAGAATTACAGAGCGTATTTTCTTTTCAGCACAAATAATCTTTAAAAGAAATAATGTTATGCAACAAGTTTAAAATAAGGTTAAAGGAAAATTGTTGTACTTTATTGACTGCTAACTTGTTTCAAAAAATTTTGCTTTTCAATCTATACGACTCTAATATTCTTACCTAGATTTATACGGGCTTTTATTCATTCATTCACACGCGGTCCTAACTTCGACCGTTAATTTGAATTTTTGACCTACCAGATGCTCGAAAATCAAGGATTGCGAGTCTCATACTGCACCGTTTTTCTTCAAACTTATACCATTAAAAGCAAAACAAAATTGCCTTTCTGTCGGTGTGTTACTTTATTGTAAAGAGTCCCTCGTTCTAGCAGCGTTTTGGTCCCCAGCTGTTAGAAGGCCTTCTTACAGCTGGGGACCAAAATGCCGCTTGAAGTAGGAACTCTGTTTAAGAGAATAATGTACCAACAGAAAGGGATTTTTGTTATGCTTTGAATGAAACAAGTTTGAAGAAAAGGGGTGCAGTACGAGATTCGTAATCCTTGATTTTCAAACATCCGGTAGGTCAAAAATTCAAATTAACGGTCGAAGTTTGTACCGCGTGATTCAGAAAATATATTCATTACAAGACATTAGTACGATAAAAGGTCACCTACTGGTTCTACACAGTAATTAGTAGAGAGTTAAATGTAAGACTAAATGTAAGTTCAAATGTGATTGAAAGCACAAAAAGGATTAGATGTCAATCAATCAATAAACAGTGATCAGTCTGTTGCATGTCGTTGTTGCTTTTCGATTACTTGCCTTCAGGTGAGGGGTATAAACATATTTATTACTGTCGAACTTCAGGCTGAGTTCGTAATTATCCCACATGAACAATATTTATTCGTTTACTCTTGGCAATGGGGTACAACCAATTCCTTTTAACTCTAGACCACAATCAGGGGATAGAAACGTGTCCAGTATTTTCGTCTGGACCTCCATTTTTGATCCAGAGAGAGGTAGGTGCAATTTTACTCGTAGATTGCGATCGTTTTACAGTGTGTCCTTGCCTAAAAACAGGCTCATCAGATTCCCAGTACATTAGGGGACATCCAATTCTCATAAAATGACAGCTTACCATCTAGTTTTCCTGTAATGTGGGGTTAAGCACAGAAATATTTTGATTTTTTTCAGGAAATACACGAATTGAGTTACATTTCTTTTTATTTACCATTTCATTGACAAGATATGCAAATTTCTTGAGTATGAACTAACATGCAGCCTCCAATCTACAAATATTAGCTTAAAAATGATCGCGGTAAAAGAAAAATGGCGAAATTGTAGAACTACTGGACGAAATAAAAAATGTACTGGACGCAAGCCTGTTAATGCCGGATGGCTTGCGTCCAGTACATTTTCATTTCGTCCGGTATTTCTTTAAATTTCGTCATTTTTCTATTTTCGATCATTGCAAAGCTAAATTTTGCCGACTGGAAGCTGTATTCTTATTCCATACACAAGAAAATTGTTAATCTTGTCAATGAAATGGTAAATAAAAATAAATCTGGCTCGATTCGTGTATGGGAAAAAATCAAAGCATTTCAATGCTTAACCCCGCGTTACAAAAAGTCTAGATGGATGACTGTCATTTTATAAGAATTGTGTGTTCCTCAACGTACTGGGAATCTGAAGATTTCCTTGTCTATAAAGTCTAAGTCACATTTGCTCTACGGCGGGCGTACTGCGCGCGTACGGCGGTCGTCGTAGCTTCACAAGATCGATATAGAAAATAAATATCGCACTGCTTATTCCAAAATTTTATGCTGCAAATTTCTCTCGATTTTGGTAAGCTATGATCGCCGCACAGTTGTCGTAGATCAAATGTGATTGAGCCATAAGATATCAATTTCAATGTAAGCTAAAATATGAATAGACCCAAATCCATTCTATTTTTCCTGTTCTTATAATGTCATTGAAATTGACATTGTTTACATAAAGTGAACAATTGTAAACACGATAGTAAAATGTTGTGGTTTGTAAACATAATATTTTATTTCACCGCCTCTATTTGGGCATACTACCTTATCGATAACCCCGTGTTAATTTCACCCTGTGCATCATG